CGAATTCATATGCAGGCCTGGTCGCAAATCAATCACCCAGATATAAATACATTTTATTAATAGCGACATTTGAACTCTTTGAAAATGAATTGCTACACAACACTAGTTCCGGTCGCAAAAAAAAGGTAAAAACAAATTTATAGTTCTATTCGATGTGTCTCAGATTCGCATGCAGTCACTGATAGTTTTCTTGAAAAAAGGCCCCGAGTATAATGAAGCCATTTTGTCTCTTATCTCTCTAAAAGAGGTCGTAAAACACTCGAATTGACCATATAAAAAACGAGCGRGAGACTAGGAATGAGCGCCTGAAACGGTCCATGTTATGAAAATCTGTTTTCACTATGAGAAATAGTATATCTCAACTAGTAAATTGATACTGTTTTAGTTTGAAATTTTGAATATCAGCAGAGGTACGAGCATTTGAATTTTACTAAAAACATGAAAGCGAGGCTGGTAAGGCCTCAATTGATTTTAACTCAAACCTTTGCAGTTTCAAACACTTGTAATTTTTGCTACTTAAATGTTAGAGCATTAACTTTCAGATCTTGTTCTTCCAACGGGCAATAATGATATATTAAACATCTTATAAACTAAGGCGTGACAATAGCCACGCCCTTTTTYATATGGTCTATACTTCGATATTTTGTTTATTTTTTTATTTTAAAAAGCTTATCCAAGAACAATCTGCAGTTTTACGGCAAATTAAATCATCTGCCCTATATATATGTCATATATTTATCTAAGTTTGCGGTCAGAATTTCTTGAAGTTACTGAGTGTATGTAATGTATACAGAACGAGAGAGCGTGTTGTATGGGGTGATAAAGATCCGAGCCGAAGGCAACTTTGAGCTTGCTGCASCTTTTATCCAATATAAAGGTATAATCACGTGATTAGATTCTCAGTATATCATTGGCTAATGACATTATGAATTATTAATGAGTTTGATAAATATACTACAAAGATAGGAGAGCAATAGCCGACTTGCGACATACAAAGGAATCAAGACGAGGCGCCGTGCTTTTTTGTGAAAAATCTATTGTCTTTAGCACGGCGCCTCGTCTTGATTAGTTGATTCCTTTGTATGTGACTATTGATGCGTAATTCGCAAGTCGGCTATTGACATGAAATGTGATTGTTACGACCAAACAGAATCATGGTTGACTTCATCACATTTGAATCATTTGTTTCTAGCTGATTCATACAATGTTTTTTCAGTGGCGTTGAAAGAGTGTAGCAAATAGCAAATATGCTGTTCATCGCTAAAATAATGACAAAAAAAACATTTTACGTGATGACCGTGGAAAAGTGTAAGAATCACATTTTCCTAAACATGCTTATTATTATAGAACTTCGATAGTCGTATAGGAGRCTATCATATCTTAATAATGAAGACAGAGTGTTCGGGAACTGAAACACTACTCTTCCGGGCGCAAATGCTTCCAAGACTTCCTTCAACTTTGTTGAACGTTGTAGAACAGTGTTGAATGATGTTGAGTGGTGCGTGCGAAAACGCTTGAAATTGAAACCCCGGCCCCCCGACCCCCGGGTTGGGCCGGGGAATTAACACATTTTAGCCGGGGATTTAACGGTGTTTTAACAGCATCAATCCACGGGCGGGCAGGGGAATTAACAGATTTTAAAAATAGCCGGAATTTTACCGGGGACATTAACACTGGCCGGAGACTGGGCCGGGGATCGTGAAAAATGAGTGAGCCTGGAAACAAGAGTGTCATAAGTGTCATGCATCCAAAATGGCTGTCAACTTGCACGAACATAAGGTACGGTGAAACGTACACTTTTTTGAAGTTTTTAAATATGTTTATGTGTTTTAAGTAAACAATTAATGAACTTGTTTATTTCTTTACTATTTGTTGGCTATTTTACTTTTGTTTTTACGTTTAATTATACGCATGACTTTTTTGTAGGTGCTGTGTGAGTTTGGAGTTTCAAAAAAAAATAATTCCCATCAGTTCATTGACTATTGATCACGTAAAAGAGGTGTTCGAAATCGCGAGAGAATGTAATATTGCATTCCAAAAATATGACAAAGAATGGGAAGAGTATATTGACTTGGAAATGGATCAATTACACCTCCTTACAGATAAAGCAAAATAAAGAATAAAGTTTGTCTTTTTCGAGAATAAATTGTTGATTGGTTATTTCTGTCTCCATGAGGTCATGAATGTCCTAATAGGGCGGGGCTCCCAGGGCCGGGCATTTAACAGCTGTTTCACCCCCGAGGGCCGGGGAAAACACGTTACTTTAACAATTGCCAAATGTTAATTTCCCCGCCCTTTCCCGGGGGTCGGGGGGCCGGGGTTTCAATTGACTGATGCATAATACCGCAATCTCGTAACCAGAGCCCGCGTAACCTTTGGTCTGCAACTGAAAACTTTTTCAAATTTTGAAAGGTTTGGTGGAGACTAGCGGTAAACTAGTGTGAACTGCGTCAGTGTTTCCAAAGAAAAAAAATTACAACGTTTCGGACATAAGTCCTTCGTCGGAGTGAAGTTTTGTCGGAAGTAAAATTTCATTTCCGATTGACGTTGGCGCCTCAAAAGTTGTTGATGCTTAAGTTCCCTAATGTATGGGAGTACCCACCCCGGGCATTAACGACAGCCGTCAACTCACTTGACCTTACGGAATTATTTCACSTGTTTTTTAAGAAAGATCAAAGCTCAGAAATTGCCATAATTCTCAATRATTTTATGAAGACAGGAGTCGACAAAGTAAGGATATTTGTAGTAGAAGAAAATTCAAAATGTCCAGAACACTTGTAACGGTTTAGCCTGAGTATCAGGCTCTCTCGAAGGGGTTTGGGTCGGAGAGAGAGCCTGATACTCAGGCTAGTAACGGTTATTTTAGCGGCACAAGAAACCTAGATTATATGTCTTTACCAGCGATTACTCGGAAAAACCATTCCGAGAGAGTCTGGAGAGAGAGAGCTTAGAACAGCAGGGACATTTGTTGGCGCTGACCGCACGTATATCGCGGGCAACGCATGAAAGTTGACGTTTTTCATAAAAAGGCGGGAATGAAAGACTCTTTAAAATGACTCACTTTTTGTTCAAGATCAAAAGATATTTGAGAAAATTCTACCAAGAATAGCGAAAGAATGGGGTCTTTTGTTTACAACGTGCTTGTTTTTAAGCGAAAATAATGTCTTATTTGGAAATGAGAGGCGATCTTCCACACAGGACACGAACGGCTGAACATTTTATGAAACCACACCATATCATGAAAAGTCAAATTTCTCAACAGTGAGATCAAAAAAGCCATCCATATCTGGTGTATTTTGTCACAGGGAGTCATGAAACTGGATAAACATGTTAAAATTTATAAAGACTGAAATGATCAAGATCTAATG